GACTATACACCAAAACGATCCTATACTTGTAATAAAACGTTGGGATCGGTTACCAAAAACAAAAACAAAAAAACACGTTGGGATCAAACCGGTATCTTTTTATGGTAATGGGGTTGTGTCTCAAGCAAGTATTTCATCTATATGGAAGGATGACACTGCGAAACTCCACTTCCGTCGGTTCGCCCATATCATTGACAAAATAGTCAGAAACCGAATCATCACCATTCGTGGTACGGATTTGAGATTCGAGGAAGCTATGGTTATATGGTTTTCAACCCAAAGATAAGAAAACCATATCTTCTTTATGTTTTCTTTTTAATTTCTTCTAGGATTTTCAAAGCTCAATTTGCAGTTGTTGGTTTGAATATAACTTTACATACATTTAGAAAAACAAAAAAAAAGTAATGGGGTTTCTTCAAAGAATGAATTACTCAGTACTGAGTTCTTTCATTGCTAAGGTAAAATAAATCTAAATATTATGAATTGGGACAACTTCTAAATGATATAATGACGTTAGTTAAGAGGTTTTTATCTTAATATTCCCTCCGTTTCAAAATATAAGATGTTTTGAAGTTTTTTTTTATTTCAAAATATAAGATGTTTTGATAATCCTAGATATTTTTTTAACTTTATTGAATATTGTGCGACCACTAATATTTTGCATTCTTTTGTATGATTGGTCAAATTATTTTTATTAAATATATTAAATGATAATTTTTGGAAGAAAGTAACTTNTTAAACTCCGCGTTTTTANCCAAAACATCTTANATTTTGAAACGGAGGGTGTATTTAATTACTTTTTGCTTGATCATCTTTAGAGAAATTACCATCGCTCTTAATTTATGGTTGGTGTATTAATCATAACCCATACAAAGGCCATGAACCTAAACTATGTGCTAAAAACAAAAGCATCGATTAGTTGAATGAATAACGACATAGATAATACTTAATTATATTAAAGCAATAGGTGATATATATTTTTATTATGAAATTGTCTTTCACTTAGTTGTCCATATACGATACCTCACAAGTCACGATCCTTATTGTAACTTATATTATATTAGATGCAATCAGTTTGATGCAACCAATCTCAATATTTATTGGTTATATACTAAGAAAAAAAAAACCTAAAGAATTATCATTTGCTAATCTTTGTTCTCTTATAATCATGGTGTTGGTAATTCGATTGGTGTACTAACAACTTGTCATTAAAAATTGGAAAATCTTCAAAAATCATTGATTATTCAAAATTAGAGAGTAGACTGATAGGTAAATGACCTAAATTAGTAAAGATTTATAAACTAACCTAAAAGTTGTGGTACTTTTGAAACTTCCACAAAATAATAGTATTGGTTGGAATTCACATTTAATTTGTCATTGTGATATTCAAGAATATTTCTCCTATTATTGTTTCAGTTTGTAATCATGTAATGGAATCAAGAAACCGGTTGTTGCAATTATTTGTTGACTCATTAATCTATATATACATCCTAACAATATAAAATTACTATATAATACTCTATCCGTTTCTAAATATATGATGTTTAAGGTTTATGCACTTTAATTAAGAAATTATTAAATTTTTATTGGTTTTTAGAATATATCATCAATTTTTATCTATCTAAAATATTTCATTCGATAGATAACCAATCTGCATAATTTAAAAAATCAAAAACACTAAAAATCAATTAATTATGCATAGAAAGGTGATAACATCATATAATAAAAGACAAAAAAAAATGCTCTAAACATCGTATATAAAAAAAAACAGAGTGAGTAAAATCGTTTTCTCTAATTTAGGTTTTCCCCCACAATCCCACTTATCTAACTCAAATAGCCTTTGATGAGTGAAGCTACATTGATACCCTTCATATACTTATGATTCTTTAATTTACTTTAAGATATAAATGAATAAACTAATAAAGTCTATTTAAATCAGCTTCTTCATCATCTTCTTCTCTCATATGGAAGCTCACTCTCTTCAACCCTTTTGTACCACCACTAGAAATAATCCTGTGTGGAGAGGTGTACCATATCATCTGATGAAGCTGCCAGCATGATCTTAACTTCTCTATCTATCTCTCTAAAGATTTTATCAGAGAGAAGATCAGATCATGCGTGGTAGTTTCACCTGTTGATGGTCGCATCGAATAAAACCCTAATCCCATTTCACCATTTCTATGTTATATATAAACCCTAGATTCTTTTCATCCATCAAATCTCTAATTAATCCAAAGTAGAAAGTGGATCTTGAATCAAGAAGCCGTTCAGTATTTCTACATGGTCCCTTCACTTGTAAGTCAAAGTTAACGATTTTATGCGTTTATAAATGCGTATGTGTGTGTGTGTGTAAGATTACTAATTGCTCTAAAAGTTCAATTAATTCTCTAGAAGTTCAGATAAAAAACAAGTATAACGACGGACTTTTTAAAAAATGCCAAACTTTAGTAGTCATATTTTAAATATAAATGAGTGTTTTTTTTTGCTAAATTGTGAGGGCTCTAAGCTAACCTCTCTTAAGTGAAAATCAACTTATGACATCGACCAATATGTTGTGACTAAAATGAACAATTATTCAGTTGAACACATCTTTTCGTTGATCTTAATGAGTGTGTCTTTTTGGATAAAATTTGATGCAATCTTTATGAGATGTTGGGTTGTTTGAAGGTTCTATTGATCCATATAGAATTAAAGAAATAAATATACACAAGTGAAAATGATTGTGGTGCGAACATATTTACATATTTATTCGTTGTGGATTTTTTAAGACAAAAATACAGTGTGTATATATAGTCGCATATGAATACATCATGGTCAAGTATAAACATACATATAGACAAGCGTACTA